GTGAAGCCTAAATCCATTAGGCTTCACATTTATTTCCACTCTGTAGTCCATCCATTAGGCTTCACATTTATTTCCACTCTGTAATCCATTAGGCTTAACATTTATTTCCACTATGTTGTCCATTAGGCTTCACATTTATTTCCACTCTGTAAATTTATTTCCACTCTGTAAGTTAAGCCTAATGGATTACAGAGTGGAAATAAATGTTAAGCCTAATGGATTACAGAGTGGAAATAAATGTAAGTAGAAATTTTGAATTGAAAATCAGAGGCACGTAAGATCAACTGCTCAGAGCTACGTTTTTCCCCAAGTCACTACCCAAGAGGCCTTTCATTCAATACCAGAAACCCATCAGTTGGGCTGGACGATGAGATACAAAACATTATTTGTATATGTAGTATAATACTTTAAAAGTTATTGTAGGTGATAAAAGCCAAAAATGTTTCACCTAAACTGTAACTTATAAAGGTTTAACAACATAGTACAATAGAGTACTGTAACCAATTCTTGAAATTCCTGTCCAATCCTTTAAACGTACACAAGTTGACTACTCATCAACATGTTTACAGATAAACTTAACGCAAATACCCTTTTGTCGTCATCTAATTCAGGTTCTAAAAGCCCTTAGACTATTGTTTTACACAAAGATATAAATAATATTTCACTAACAGAAACAAGTTCAAAGCAACAGATGTTAATAACCATTCATTGCAACATGTACTTTTGTACAATTACAGTAATAAAGCTGTAGACAATGCTTATTCAAGTAAGCAACTAATAAACTGCTAACATTTTTTTTGTTCTGTTCTTATTTACTTTTTTATTATGTCAATCACACTTCCACATGTCCGGCATTGTTAATGATCTTGACTTCTGACTCAAACACACCATTATAAAGAGCTGTTTCAAACTTTTATAATTATGGTAATTGAAAGATATCCAATCCAGTGTTTAAACATATAAACAATTACTGTTATTTATTACTCTGACTTGAATGGGTAAAATGTGTTATAAGCTTGTTTTTTTTATATACACTAGCAATAAATGCAGCATTTTACATAACTACTGGGGGTGGGGGGGTGGGGGGTAATAGACCTCCACTGGAAAGCTCTGCTCCTCTCCATCCAAGATATAGTCTAAAGAATTTTAAATTTGCTTCATTGTAACTCCCAGTGACTTGAATGTGTTAGTTTTCTACCCCCCCCCCCAAATAAAAAAAAAACAATCTCAGAAATTTTGTTCGTTGTTCAGCACAAAACCAAACAATGGTCTATCTGCACTGTGCCCACCATGAGTACCAAAATAAGGTTTTTAAGAGTTATAAGCCTTCAGACTTACTGCTGAGTCAGTGGGAGGTAAACTTAGAAATTCCACCGCACACAGCATAAACAGCTACATATTTTACGTTAAATATTTTAAATGTATTAGAGCCACTTCATGATGATGTTAGACTTTAAGATTAATACACTGAAGAAGCCACTGCTTATGCTGAACCATACGTATACAAAGTTTTATATAACCAAATGGTCGCATTAACCCTTTCACTGCGATTGGGATAAATGTTTTCCATTGTTATTCAAAATTGCTGCCCGAAACGTATGGGAGTAAAATGAGTTGGAAAGTACGTATTGGCATCCGACCTAATGTAACCAACAAGGTGCCAAAGCAGAATGTATGACAACTACGTTCTGACTCTACCCGCTTCGCCAGAGCAGCGAGTAGTAACCCTAATTACTATGTAAATATGCTTGACTCAGATGGCTTAGAAGATAGTGAAAGTGAGTCAAGCGGTGTTTAGATAAGATAGTGAAAGTGAGTCAAGCGGTGTTTAGATAAGACAGTGAAAGTGAGTCAAGCGGTGTTTAGATAAGATAGTGAAAGTGAGTCAAGCGGTGTTTAGATAAGATAGTGAAAGTGAGTCAAGCGGTGTTTAGATAAGATAGTGAAAATTAGTCAAGCGGTGTTTAGATAAGATAGCGAAAGTGAGTCAAGCGGTGTTTAGATAAGATAGTGAAAGTGAGTCAAGCGGTGTTTAGATAAGATAGTGAAAGCGAGTCAAGCGGTGTTTAGATGCACAATGATGAAGAGACAATGAAACAAGAGGATGCTAGCTCTCTATCTGGTGACGATGGTAAAGATGATGAACCGGACCCAGCAGAGAAAGGTATAAACAGCATAGAAAGTGGGAGACGTACATCCCAGGCGCAGTGAATCGGTTAAATGTAAAACTATGGTATGTTGAATTACCATAAACACTTTGTTCAGAAAATGTTCCAACTAAACAGTCAGCCTTTGAACACTTTACCTTATGAGAACACTTTCCTATGATAAAGGATTTTTATGAAAACACTATTGTATATTTCAAAAATGTAAGTGAACACACAATTTTATCATATTATCTCTAAAGTTAAAAGCTTTTATTTGTAAAACAACTTGTACTATTAATGGCTGGAGATGGCTTGAATGGGTAATGAAGAAAAACTTTAATATAAGTTTAACATAACAGCAAACGTACAACGTTTCGACAAGGTTTTGTCACCATCAAGCTGTCTCCAGCCATTATTAGTCTCAAAGTGAGTTCCTCGTCATCGAACTTGTACTATATTTCCTTCTTTTCTGAATCATTTTTAGTCCATAAATAAACGCGTGTCTCTTTTATTTATGCCACTCTATGAACAATAAAACACCGTCAAAGCTAAACAATAATGTTGGAAGAATGACCAATACAAATACGTGAATCGTTAGTATACGGGAACACATAATTTCTTCCTACCTCAGGTAGTGCAGGTCTGTGATCTCATTCATACACAACCAACAAAACTCTGTACCACATACACTGCACGTCATGTGGTTACAGGAGCCATCTTCCATCTTAACGATCAACACCTTACAGCAGGGACACAACTTTATGGCTTCTGCTGTATATAACCAACAATACATTTTGATAACAATTCAGTAATATATTATTTATGCTCGTAATAACACAAGTAAAGTACTTTTTTGCAAACATAAAATGCAATCATTATTTTGATGTCAATACAAGTGCAGTAATGCACATCATAATATTGTCTATTGGAATAAGAATTATCTAATTGTATTTCGTTATTTAATTCAGAAAATACATCCATTCTTTTAGCATTAAAATAAAAATCAGACACTCACCTTTCGAAATGTGACGTAAGTTAAAGAATAAACATATAGGTTTAATGTACGTTGTTGTTGAGCAGCTCTTAGCATGACTGAAATGCTCGACAATTACTTTTCGAGGTGGGAAGTATAAATAGCTCAGAGTGCAACACAATTAATCTTTTTTTAAAGTCCATGAAATAATTTAAATTGATAGATTAACTTAAACTTTAACCATCAGTGGGGACGGGTACTTTTACTTGTGAAAGTAATATTAAAAAAAAAAGTAAAGAGTAACTTACTATAGTTATTACTTGGAATTCTAAACCTGTTAATCCTAAAAATTTTGATGAATGAATGAATGCGAGACTTGTCAAACTTAATGAATCCTAGTGACTGGCAATAATGAAAATTATTCTTGCATTATTATTGTCATATAATTTTCATATTTATTGCAATCAATAAATTAAAACACTGGAGGAAATTCAGTTACCCAATTGATTATGCTTTTCCACATTAAAATTGCTAACCCTAAACTCTGAGAGATTGTGCTGCTAACCCTAAACTCTGAGAGATTGTGCTGCTAACCCTAAACTCTGAGAGATTGTGCATTTAGAAGTTTATATCTCATTCATTATGCACTTTTATTAAAAAAACAATTGCACTGATCACAAAACGTTTATACACGAACTTCGGTTTACTACCCTAGAAATGATTACAGACTTACTCTGTATGATTGAGTCCTGACTGAATGAGACTGAAGCTGAGCGTGGATGTGGTGAATAGCGAGCTCTCTGCGCTCGAGCAGCATCACACGTCTGGTTTGGATGCCATTCTTGCTTACAGTGGTAACAGAAGAATGTATCACATCCGGGCCTGTCACATTTTAATTTTGGACAGCTCGCACATCCAGTTGCTATGACAACATACCTACAGAGAATAGAATATCGTGATGGTTATTCAAGTCAACAGTTATCACACTTATACGCTGAGAAAAATATGGATATTTAAAGCCATAACAGTAAAAACTGTTAAAATAGGAGGTTTCTTTCAAGTTACACGTCTCTCAATATTAAAAAATCAATAATAAAGCTTGACCACTCACCCACAATCTGGGGCAGGACACCATCTAGCATCAATATCAGTCACCAACACCCGCCGGATCATGAACTTTTCATATTTTGCAATAGCGAATTCATCATTCAGAATCTTTCGAATATCATTTGGATGGAGAGGTTCGGTACACTCCGGACAAGGACCTAATGCCATGTACTAAACTTGTTGTCCCCTACCCCATAAAAATATACTTTTTTCAGTGAAATATTATAACTCATTCCTTTTGTTATCTAAATCTCGGGTTTTTTTTTGGTCTGTGTTACAAGTTTCATAAACTGACATGATTCTATTTGTATATTATTATTATTACAGAGTAAACATCTCATGGTGGAGGCTTCATCAGTAGTAATAATTTGGAGACACCCTACGAATCAAACGGTGATTGTACCCGATATTATCAGTTTAGGAAAGGTTGTGTTGAATGGAATCACACGAATCATTGATCGTTATGAGTACAGCAGTATAATCATAATATTTCACCAACATATCTAAATGCTTGTAGCAAGGTTTTACAAGGTGTGTATTCTCAATGCTGTTTGTAAAAACATGTTTACCATCTGTTGGAGAATTGTGCAAACTTAATGTTGTTGGTACATCTACAGCAATAAATTTCATTGAAAGAGTGGATCCCATTCCCTGTTAAATCTAATTCACAGGTTTCTTCCTTCAACAAAAACCACTTTTACAGCTTTGTACACTCATATGAACCTTCCATCTGAGTGACCAATCAAGTTAACCACTTTGTACATTCACATGAACCTTCCATCTGAGTGACTAATCAAGTTAAACACCTTGTACATTCAAATGAACCTTCCATCTGAGTGACCGATCAAGTTAACCACCCTGTACATTCAAATGAACCTTCCATCTGAGTGACTGATCAAGTTAACCACCCTGTACATTCAAATAATTCTTTTACCTGTTTATCTGATCAAGTTTTACTACAAATTCAAATGTCATTTTAGGTTCGGTTATCAGACAAAATTTGAGTTTGTTCTTGTTTACTGTATTAGAATAACTAAATCAATAAAAAATATATTTTAAAATTCCAAGTTGTTAATTATTTCTTTCCTGACTTTTAAGTTGTTTTTATTTTTCAATTCTCCCATTTCATTTAATGACTGACATTATACGAGCTACAAAATCTACATCATATGGCAATTTGATATGATTAGCGTGTCATCAAGGGCCTGAGGGTGGAAGATTTATGATGACAACTTGTTCTTCTGCAGTCTAGCTATATCATTATCTTCCTGTGACAATATGACAATATCCTTCATCAGGATACTCCTTATCCAATCAGTTTTAGATACAGGAATTTCCTGTCTTTGTCTCTTCACATTAACTCTTTAGGCTCGTTTCCCGTGGAG